AGTTTAGCATTTTGATGATTGAAATAATTTCTCCTGTTTGAAATGCACCACTTTCTGGGGAATGAAATCGAGTACATTAATAAGCCTACAAATGTCCATGTTGTTTGAAATCAACAGTGAACTGTAAAAACATGAATCGGTCTGAACTGTAAATTCATATGGTTTGGTTTAGTTTGGCCACTGAAGGGATCATTTGTTTAACTTTTATGAGGCAAAATTTTCCAAACTAGAGAATCACAACAGGGATGCATTTAGCCAGGGACAAATATAGTCCCTGATTTAGCATATTAAAGTAATATAAAGTAACACTGATGTTGAAATTTTAAGTTTATTCTGCCTAACTCTGGGCGAACAGATTTTCCTCACAAAATCAAAACTAGGTCATGTCAAAGTTATTAGTGTAATTTGACTGAATTATTATTATTATAAATCATTGTATCTGTCATATACACAAAGTAAAAGGGTGTTTTGCAAGTGGCTGGACAGTTTCCCTTATACCTAGCAGAAACACTACATTGCAACACTAAATTGGGGGAAAATAATCATTATAAAATTAACTCTGTTGTGTTACTGTTACATTTTAATTATTTTGCAAATTAAAATGCTAAAATCCGAACTCTACAAAAGTAGATCAAGTATAATCGTAACAAACATTAGCCATGATTAGACATGTCACGTTACTGTGATTAGTAATTATAAAATACCTGCATCACGATGACTGCAGAAAATTAGCAATAGTATTTAAAAAATAAAATCAAACTTGTATCAATCATTAAAACGATTTTTATACAACGAAATTAACTCCGATACTTTACCTGTGTTTTTGTATAATTTGCGGCACAGACGTCAAACAGCTGATGTCAAGTTTTTTTTAGATACTGGCAAATTTTCGTTTATCTTAAAAAATCCAAACACTTTCCACACGTCAGATTTTGTTTTCACATCAGGATGATTATGTATCTCATGTTGTTTTTCACTAGACACATTTGTTCCGTCTACATTTAGAACATACGAGACATCCACCATTTTGATTTCTATGGGATATAAGTTAAGAGTAACCTCCCTTTATTTAGGTGCGTTCGATTATCGATTCTTGGAAAACGAACATCGATCATCGAAATTGACAGCTTTTTCTCGCCATTAATCGATGTTAACCGATTATCGAAACATCACTAGTACTAGGCAGGGTTACAACTGGTCCTTCCATTAATTGGTGCAAACTGATGCCTCAGGAGGTAAGAGGTGTCCTCTGTATCATCCACTCGCCCACATTTAGACTCATTAAACATGTGTTTGCACATGCAGCAGAGGACATGTTGAAAATTGATTTCAATTTGTTGCTTGGGTTTTGAAACATTTTGGGACTGGGAGTGTGTAAAATTAATTCATAATATTTGCTATATTAATTAATATAATAATTAAGTAAATGAGGTAATTTATGTAACTTAGTTACAAAAAAGAAAATATTACAACAGGGAATGCTTTCACCTTCTATCAGTATTTGTAATTGTGATGATTTCAGGGATTGATATGGTGATGGCAGTGATGGTGATTGGTTTCATGAAGATAATGAAGATTGCGGGAATTAATGAAGATGGTATTGGGGATTCACAAAATGCTGACTACCATACTGGACCTGTCATGGCTGCCCTGGATTGGAGGATGGCTTGGAGGGCTTTAGATGTAAGTTGCCGTCAGGTACATTTGTACTAAGTTTAAGTATGTTTGATTGAGTAATCATGATGAATGTTAAACAGTGAAAAAAAATCATTTGTATGTGATTTTTTTTGAGATTTGTTTTGTCAACAGTAATCACAATGGTGGTGCAGTATCACCAATTTTACCAAAACTGATGGGTATACAGTGTTTTTTTGATAATTTAAAGTAGTAAGTCCTATTTGATTGAAATTTTAAGGGTGGACTCTTGGAAGAGATGCCCACGCATTGCTTTATTGGAACTGTTGTAACTGAATACCTGAAAAGGCAGCACTGTATTGGAGGGAGGTGACTGCAGTTATAAGGTTTAGGGCCTGTATGGTACACCTAGTTTTGTTGATTGAATTGAAGATAACCTGTTTCCTCATTTGGCCTCACTCCTTTCCCTTCCCATAAAGACCCTTCAGACTAAACTGAGTCAATATATCTCAATTTCAACACACAGTTTTTAAAGCTGTACATCTCTATTTTAGATAGTGGGCATTACCCCTCAGGTCCTTGGGGGTCAGACTCACAGTTCATATACAAAATTGGTTTCCCTTCCCACAAATCTTTTCCTTTATTTCTCTTATTAGGCCACATTTTTGTCCCAGACCCACCCCTCATGCCTTGAGGGGGGCCCTGAGACCCTCCATCAATACGAACTTGGTTCCCCTACACTCAAGAATTCTTCTGACCAAATTTAAATAAATTCAAGAGGTGCTTTTATTGCAACATGAAAGATGACATTACTGTAAATATTTTTATTACTTTTCAAGAATGGGATCAAAATATTGTAATTCGAAAGTTTTCTTGATTAAAAAAAAAATCCAAACATTGATTTATTCAAATTCATTAGTTTTACTTAATAACTGTTTGCTGCATACAATCATAGTTCCATTGTCCTCTCTGCACCTGCACTGTTAACAGGCGCACACTACCCTACTAATACCTGCACTGGTATATTGGTCCCACTAACATATTAGGTACTGTGATTATTTGTAGTATGCTACACATGTATTAGTTTTACAAAATATAATTGATAAGAAAAGTTACTATTGATCTTGAAGTAGCAACTCCTTTCCAAATTTATTTTCTGGTTATTTTGCTTTTCAAATGGAAAAATTATTCAAATTTTACTGCCAAATGGTTCAGTAAATTCAGGGCAGACAGCAACTGTTTTTCATCAAATTTTGATCAAAATGAATGATTTCTGAAAGGGAGTATTTATATAAAATTCCCTTAAATTTAGGCCATATTTAGTGTTGATAGCTTTATTGTCATATAGCCCTTTTAGACTCTACTCCTTAGTCCCTAAGATTCAGTCTCCTGTTGTCAGACCCTTTAGACCCTACTCCTTTGTCCCCTAGAATCAGACCCTTTAGACCCTATTTCTCTGCCCCCTTTAGTTCAACCTTTAGATCCTACTTCCTCAGTCTCCTATAATAGGACCATTGAGACCCTACGCCTTTGTCCCCTGGATAGTCAGACCCTTTATACCCTACTCCTTTGTCCCCTAGAGTCAGACAATTTAGATCCTATTCCTCAGTCTCCTTTAGTCCGACCTTTTAGACCCTACTTCCTATGTTCCCTAGAATCGGACCCTTCTCTGTCCCCTGGAGTCAGCCTTGGATTGGAGGATTGTAGTTTGAGGTTGCAGAGAGGTACATTTGTACCAAGTTTAGGTATGTTTGATTGAGTAATCGTGATGAATGTTAAAAAGCGTTAATATTTTGCAGAAAAATTCTTTTGTGTATTTTGTGTATTCATTTGTGTATGATTTTTTTTTAGATTATTTTTTCAACAGTAATCACAATGGTGGTGCAGCATCACCAATTTTACCAAAACCAATGGGTATACAGTGTTTTTGTTGATAATCTTAAGTCTGAGTTTCTCTCAGAATAATATCTTTCAGGTGGATCCTGGGATGAGCTGACCTGGCATGGCTGTAGTTTTAGCTGTTGTGGGTAATGGTGATGATTTCAGGGATTGATATGGTGATGGTGATTGGTTTCATGGAGATGATGAAGATTGCGGGGATTAATGAAGATGGTATTGGGGATTCATAGAGATGATGAAGATTGCGGGGATTAATGAAGATGGTATTGGGGATTCACAAAATGCTGACTGTACCGTACTGCATCTGTCATGGCTGCCCTGGATTGGAGGATGGCTTGGAGGACTATAGCTGTAGGTTGCATTGGGGTACATATGCACCAAGTTTAAGTATGTTTGATTTATTGAGTTTTTCAAGTGTGTAAGAACGTTGGCAGATTCTGAGCAACTGCAGAGTGACATTGATAGTATATGAATGGTGTACGTTGTGGAAAATGGAAGTGAAAGTGAAGAAGTGCTGCCAGGTCATTTTTACCAAGAAGAAGAAATGTATATATTGTAATTATAGTATGGGTGGCGAGTTCCTGAAGAATGAAACGTGTGTGAAAGATCTGGGTGAATGGTTGACCTCTACAACGAGTTTTAGCAAACATATCAGACATACTGTTTCTAAGTCCATGCGATGCTTGGTTTTATTAAACGTTCATGTAAAAATTTTACCCAAGTTAATGTTTTAATATCTTTATACATTAGCCTTGTAAGGTGTCGGTTAGAATACTGTTGTCAGATCTGGTCACCTCACCAAACTTCTTTAATTCACCAAATCAAAGCTGTTCAGCGAAAGTTTTTGAGATTTTTATGTTTTAAGGCACATGTTGACTTCAATTCATTGTCTTACGCTGAAACTAGTAAGTATTTTAATCTCCCCAGCTTGGAACATAGATGATTATTTTTGGACAGTGCATTTCTTTTCATATGTGTAAATAGTGTTTTTGATTGTCCATATTTAGTCGAGCAAGTGTGTTTTTTAGTACCTGGTCGTAATCTACGATCTACTGGTTCAATTCAATTTTAACTCTCTTGGTCTTGTTTCAGACTTTGATATGTTTTATTGGTCTCTCACTGCATTTATAGCACAACTCATGAATGCCTTTTACCAATAATTCCATATTTTGTACATTTTATAGTTCTGTGTTTCATGTGACTGTGATATCTATTCTTATGTTGTATTTGTTATCCATTCTGTAAGTGGACCTTCAGGTCTGTAGTGGACCTCCGGGTCTGTAGTGGACCTCCGGGACTGTAAGTGGACCTCTGGGACTGTAAGTGGACCTCCGGGTCTGTAGAATTGGAAATTGAAATAAATCAAGAGACTTATTCGGCAAGGACAAAGGATGTTGAACAAAAACCTCATCAGAACTTTTAACAGCTTCAGATACAATTTTCAAAAGAATTCAACCAATCACAAGTAGAAATTTTGTGAAAGAAGTATTTGGGAAAATAAAGATGGACAAGATAGGAAAGACTGCAAGAAATAATGTTATCACCCAATTAGGAAACCCGTGGATGGAGAAGAATTAGGGAATGATTTGAAGAGAGGCAGCTATACATCAGAATGGGGGAGGTTGTTTCTGCAAGTCTACTCCTGTACAATCAAAGGCGACCTGGAGAGCTCCAGGCTATTGGGTAAGATTTTATTCAGTTGAATTTTAAAAGCTGAGGAAAATGAATCGCTCATATGATCCACTGCAGAAAGTGCTATTAATCATCATAACAACTAGTTCCTTGTAGATATTCTCGTGTTTCTTTTTCATATGGACATGTGCAAGATCAAAATATTCCATCAAAAGATACAAAAATTTGGGTCAGAACCGACACTTGCAAATGTTTTTGATAAAAAATAATGTACCCAAGGGTAAAGGCATCTACCCCCGTTTCTATCCTACATAATGTACATGTGAGTTACCAAGTATTAGAAATGGCATCAACGGTCAAGAGAACAGTGGGTTATGCATAACTCTAACTCTTTTACTTTAAGGGATATTTTGCACAAACTACATTGCTTCTTTTCAAAATAACTTATAGCATGTATATATGTTATAATGAAAATTGTGCTCAATTTCCACATACAAATGACATACAATATTAGAATGAAAGAAATCCCATATAAATCTAACTAGGTTGATTTCTGAATGTTCATGTAACCTTGATAGTGTCAGGACAGTTGTATGTAAAGGTGTTTAGATGCAATAGTTTCAATAGTCATTAGATAGAATGCAGCTAGAAAATGTGCAAAATATCCCATTAAACCATTTACAGATTGACAGACTACAAAGAGTGACAAGAGGGGGAAGATGTCCAGCGTTTGATTGGAGATTGTCAGCAAAGAAACTGTTAGAGAACCAGGTGGTTATCACAGTGTGAGGAAAGGTATTTATTTAATTTGTTATATCTGAATTGCTGAAATGAATGGTACATTGGTTAAACCTTTTATTAGGCACAAAGCATTACACCAAACTATAGTACCACACTAATAAGATGGCCTGTGAATATAGTTTTCAGTGGATGTTTGATTACATAATTGTTCAGACAGTTTCTGTGGCAACCAACAAATTTAAAGTACGACAATGCAAGTTGTTGCATGACGTATGCTGTCATGATGCTAAAATAAACATTATAAATACATAAATACATAAAAATTAAAAAACAGCAGCAACATGTTCAATGCCATTGACCTCAAGGGTTCATGGAACACATACTTCTTTCCCAAACCTTTACATACCTTGTATACAACAGAAGTTAATGACTGCAAAATGTAGTATGTTTGAATGTGATGTCTGATTGAATACCTGGTATATACTATTTATTTTACTTAATCCAATTTTAGGAAAATGTTTGTTAGTGAAAGCCTCATTCACTGGTTACTGAATAAAAAAACTTCCCTCTTTTCAGACCAGAAGAAGAGTACCTGTTATAATTCCAGCAGACGCAGGGAAACCGACCGACTACCTCACAAATGAAGGGGTTAGAAGAGATGCAGGGATCCTGGAAAAGAATACTTTGGTGTTTGCCTGAAAAGGTATAACCACATGTTTAAAAATTTCCTTGATGATTCCACTTCATATATAAAAAAAAATTAAGTCCATAATGATATTTTCTGATTTTACAGTATGTCTATCACTTGTTTAAATGCTGCAGCAGTGCTAGATTTCTTTGTGGTCTCTGTTGCAGGGGAAGGGGTTGTCTGTGCATGTGATTGCCATGGTTACTTACTGAAAAATTGCAAAAATACTACTTATTCCAACCTAACACTTCAGCTTTATAGAAGACATTTGTTTCTAAACACCTGTCTTAAAATCAACCTCGCTGTCATGGTAACAAACCACTTGCATCTCAGCAAATTCCAACTCGGAAATCCTTCATAATATGACCACATGTAAACACTATAAAAATTCACTTCCTGTAAAGCTGTTTTTTGGTGCGTAGACACAGATTCGAAACTGCTCAAAAAGTAATCTTTATGGAATGCATGTAATGACACTGTCAATATTGAGTGTCAAAATTTCCTTTTTTATGACACTTGATACCTATCCTTTAACCTTTATTGCTTATCTTAGGTGACCATCAAGGCCACTGGGCCTCTTGTTCCACTTTATTTATCAACCTGTAACATCTTCTCTCATAAACTATTTGTCAGTTGCTATGAAACTTGGCATAAATGGATCGGTAACATTGATATTGGATTTTGAAAATTTGCTTATATTATCAGCAGAATTTTTTTGCCTTGTTTTGCAGCCGAAAAAAAAGTTGTTTCCCCTAGCCAAAATGTGAGTTTTTTTATCCCAAAATGATGCAAAATCCAAGAATATTTTCCCAATTTTTCATAAAACACTACTTTATTTTATTAAGGGATAGGCTGCTGTTAAATCAAGGTGGAAAAAACACCATGTTTTGTATACATGTATGTAAGAATGATGTAAGAACTTAAGAGCCAATTACAATTTTAAGGTCAGAGGTTAAAGTTGGGGGCAGAAAAATTTTAAGGTCATAGGTCAAGAAACACAGACAAATCGAAAAACTAGATGACTGTATTTTCAGGACTGAATTTCAAAAGTATGGACAGAAAATATCACTTAGGATGAAAACTTGCATTGGTTCACCAGCTTTTCACCTCCTAGATATGTGTTGGAATTCCATTGGTTGCAGGGATTTTTCTAGGTCAAGTGTTCTAAAATTATTTTCGAAAATTTTGATTTTTGACATCATCTGCCAGCAGTGTTTACACATAAGTAGGGTTTGTGCAGAGCCTGAAAATCCCTTGAGTTGAGAATTAATCTTGAAACTCCTTGAAAATCTTGATATGTCTTGAAAACATTGATTTAGCCGAGTAATTTTAATACTGTATTTGTGGAAGGAAACAAAATTAAATTGCCCATATAAATAGAAGTCAGAATGAGTCACCTTACTTATTCAAATGCCCTGTTTTTGTTTCAGGTCTTTGATCCAAAACCAAATGAAATGGAATGGGTTATCAATCATATGGGCCACTCACTTGACAATCATTAAATACATTACAGGTAACTTGAAATACAGAATAAGATGCTCTCACATCCAATATACCAAGACTGTGATCCATTTAAACATTGTCCATTTTGTTTTGAAATCTCACCACTATGCAGAGAAATGGAAATGTCACTCCAGGTTTCCAATGGGAAATTTTGGTTCAGTCATACGAAATGTTTTAGTGTGAAATGATCTGGTCAAATTAAGTGACACAGGTTTTCATTCTATTTTGTCCTACTACTTCTTCATGGGGCTGATTTTTACCTTTTTTTGTAGATTTACTCATAGTGATATTAGTTCTTGTTAAATGCATAGGATTTACATTATTTCCCTACAAAAACAGGCTTCAACTTATGTTACTTTTTCTTGTGTGATAAAAATGAGGTGATTTTCATTTTTTTGATAAAACAATACCTTTTGGCCAAGAAAAGTTGGTGGCAATATTTGTCACTTCAACAAAAAAAAAAAAAAAAATAAAGTGAAACTCCACTGATACAAATGTCATTTAAAACCATCGCGAAAAAGTTGACTAGTTACAAAAATATCAGGTATCAGGTGAGAACAAATGCATAAATTTATTCAGCCAGAGATATTTTTCAGGAAGACTTTTGAAATTGATGTTAAATATTGCTAGATAAATAATATATAAACTTTTATTTTCTTTGAAAAAAATTCCCATAATTCTTCTAATTTTGACAATATAAAGTGCTGTGCTACCAATCATAGGGATTATATTTCAAATATGATTTTTGTAAATATGTGTAACATTGTTATGCTTAAGGTGCACAGATGATGTCTTAGAAAAAACACAAATAGCCAAGATACTACTACTACAAGACCGTGTGGGAGAGTTTCGGACAAATCCCTACAAGACATCCAAATAGAAGGTTTGTTTCCTTTGAAACAGATTTAGGTTGCTTTAATTCAACTTATAAATAAAAAATTTCACTAATCCAAAGAATATTTCAAAAACTTTTTTTTTATCTGTACATCAATCTTGAGTCCTAGTATTGTTTGCTGCTCTGACACACCAGAGAATCATTACTACTATACTAAAAGTTTGAATTAAAATATTCAAGTAATGAAAAGTACATAAGTTCTAATGAAAACAGATTCTTTCTTGGACCACCATCATCTCTTCCGAATAACCTTAAAACACTATTTTGTTATCACCAGGCTTAGTAATTGCCTCTTACCTCCATAACCTAGTCCCTGTATCTTTTTTTTTATGTATTTCACATTGCTAAAGGACTGTAAATGACTATCTGAACAATAGTGGTTTAAAGCGATTAAGTAGAAATAAAATGACTGAAGTGGCCATTATTATATGAAGATATCTTTATTACAGACCTTATCCAGGAGTCATCATTCACTGAACTGGATGAATATGAGGATTTACACGATATGACATCACCTGACCTTGTAGGTACCATTGAGCCATGTGATTTTTCTGTGTTACATATTGCCGAAAATTTGATGAGTACATAAAAAAATGGAAGTCTGCTGCTCTTCAAGAAACAGAAAAATACAGCCAACACCACATCAGTGTGGAAAAGCAATTGACCTAAGCAGGGTTAATGATGGAAAAATTTGGAAACAAAAGAAATCGAAGATGTACTGGAAAAAAAAACTCTTCAGAATTGTAGATAAACTGAATGTGGGTCGGAAACCTAAAACTGTTTCATGCTATTTCTGCTGTTCAAATTTGTAGAAAAGCTGATTGTGGGTCAGAAACCTACAATAAATAGATGTTCTTTTCATCATTGGAGCAGTTTGTAGACAATGGATTGATCTAAGTTCTAATGTGAAATCATTTATTACCAACTTTTTATTAACATTGTCAAACATGACACAGACATTAAACATGGCTGTTGAAAAGCATGCCTCTTTATGTTGTAAATACTTAATTTTGACCACTTGTTTTATATCATAATTTTTTAACATCTTGTGCATCTGTTGTCATTCCTTCATGCAACAGTCTTGAATAAACTAGGATCAAGGTTTGTATATATATCATAGTACAGTTTTTTATAGAAATTCTGGATTAGTGTTTTATATATATAATGTACAGCACCATTTTGTGGAGAACTTTTATACACAAAAAACAACATTCAGTGGAGTTCCTTTTATTTTTCAAGTTGTTGATACAAAAAATATAAATGATTAAAGTATTTTTAAACAGCAAGAAAGAGCAAATGCAGATGGTATCTTGTATGAATTTAGTCTCTGATGAAAAATCACGTGCAAGCATTGAAACAGTGATCAGTTTCTAACCAAGAGGAAGAAAAATATGCCAATACTATTTGTAGATAAGAAGTACGATATTTCCATTGACTTGACCAAGGATGGATGAATTTCTAAGTTTGCAGTATTTTAATATGCTTAGTATGTAAAATTCCTGTCAAGAATGTTTGATAAAATGAATGACCTTGACCCATTTTGAAGGTCACATGGATAGGTGTTTAATAATCTTTAAATTATTTCTTATCAATATCTAAAAAGTTCTGATAACTGGCCCGTAGTGTGCTGGAATGAATTGCCATTTATGTTCATGTTATTTATATTTTCACTTTGTAAAGGTCACAAGGGTCAAATTTGTTAAAATCTTTAATGACTTCTTGTCAATAACAAAAAGGTTGAGGCTGTTGAATCTTGTTTTTCAATGTTAGTGGATGAAGGACAATCGTTTTCAAATTGACCTTGACCTATGTTAAAGATCTCCTGGTTAAGTGATTTAATTTTTTTTTTTCAATAAGCAATAGTTTCGGAATAATGGCATTTGTGTAGTAGCATGTATAAAGAATATGATTTTAAGTTTGCAGAAAATGTTTTTATGATCAAACAGTATCTTTGTATGCTGTAGAGTAGTTGAGCAATTAATCTTAGGCTTACTTTAATTAATAAAACATTCCAGCGTTTCATAGTTATAGCGGGAATTGTTTGTCTTGTCGGTACTTATAAGTCAGGGGTGGAATTACAGGTGGGTCCGGTAGTAGTGTTTTATTCAGCCAATCGGAGAGTTGGCACATGCATTTGCATGTTTGCAAGCTGGGGTGTCACTTTTCTAGCAAGATTTGGTCGCAAGCACACATAATTTTTTTTTGATGGAAGAATTAGAAGCAAACCGGTTCCAAGTGAAATCCCAGAGTTCATGAAGCCTAAGCATTCATGGCTGGTGCACCTCCTGTGGTTCCCGATAAGGGTTTTCAGGTTGGGTGGCTCGGTAGGTTTCTTTTTTCAGAGAACTGTTTTTGTTAGTTGCTATAAGAGCGTATAAGTTTGTATAAGATGCAGAGAGAGATCAGATGGAGTGTACAGTCTCAGGGTGCTCGAGTTATCGTGCTATTGTTTAATAGGAAAAGTTTTTTTTAATCTATATAAAATATCATATGGTATTCAGTATACTAAATATTTCATTTGTCTTCAAGTATGTACATTATGTATATGTAACAGGATTGTATCCGAGTGAGAGTGGGGAATTGTAAATGTAAACCTGTAAAATAAAGTTTGGTACTCATTAAACGTCGACTGCACGCGACACGCTAGACATGCAAACATACAGTGGTGTCTGTTGTTTTACTGAGTAGTATAGAGAAGACACAGCATTTCATACTAGATAGTAAAGAATTTCTTGCATTTTGCCTATCTATTGTAAATCAATATACATTTTATACTTCATTTTAATGAAGTTTGGTAGATATTTTCATGGCCAATGGAATGAAGTACAATGTCTCCGACCTAGGGGACTTTGGCAGTGTCGAATTGAATCAAATTTTCGAAAATCTCCACAACACTCAGATATGGAAAAATCAAATACTTTTCATAGATGGAAGGGTTTTTGAGATGCTTTAAGCCAAATTATGAATTTCATGATCCCTGCATTTTCCCTTGTGGAGTTGGTATTAAGTCAGAAGTTTATATAGAATTTTTTTTCTCTAATTCAAACTCTATTAGAATCCATAATATAGGATGACAGTTAACTGTGTTAACAAGATGTTTATGTGATATATATAACACAACACAAACAATGTTTATGGAATTCAGGTGACTGTTAAGACCATTGGGCCTTTTCTTTTGTCAAGACACTATCATGCAGTGTTGAAATTACGGCTGAAGAATTAGATTTGATATATGAGTTAGGTTGCTACCAAATAGTTCTACCATTTTTGAAATTCTTTTATGGTGTCCAGATCTGGAAAAGTAAGTTTTCAATTTTTGTCAATTTTAGATCATTTGACTGTGGGTAAGGTTTTGTAGTCAGATGACCTTATAACCCATGGGTCTCTTGTGTCTATGTTGAAAATTTGAATTTACAATGATGTAAGAATACCTTTGTTGATGTGTGTTCATGAGTGTAATTTGATCTTCCTGTTCACACTCTGAACCCATTTTGTATTATTGAAACTTCAACCAAAGTGTTATTTTCTTTGTACCATGATTAAAAATGGATCATTTACAAAAAAGTTTTCATTCTCTCAAATCTCTTCATACTCTTAAATAGAATTTCAAAGTGGCAGTCTTAACATAGCAATTGTCCCCTTCTGCATTCAACACACGGTAGTCCCCAAGTTTTCTTGAAAATTTTGGTCACCATAAATCTGGACGAAATAGTATATGTGGTCCTAGATCTTGTCACTTTGTGGACAACAGCAACATCTCTTAATATTTCAAAATCTTTTTCGACTAATGGAATCCTTAGGCATACGAAACGGTCAATCTTGGTACCAACAGTAAGGTGTTCTTTGATAAGGACACCTAGATCCTCCAGATCCTGAGGGTTGTTTTCAGTTTCAATGAATGGTTCCAATTTATCTTCTATCAGTCGATCATATTTTTTACTCCAACCTGTAACAGAAATGGAATTATATAGTATACAAAAATATTTGTATGATATAGAACTATAAAAATGTCTCTGCTACCTTATAATCAGTGGATCGCTATATATAGTGATTTGGGACAGGGCACAATGTGGTGGACACAAGGACATGGGTGCAACACTTGATCCCCCCACCCCCTTTAATAGCGAAGGCATCATATAATCAAAATAAAACTAGCAAATTATAAACATGTGCTAATATATTCATATTGTATATATGATTTAGAGGAAATTCCCAAATTTATTCAAAGTTCTGTCAACAGATCACGAATGCAGTATGATTGAAAGTAGAAGGTTATAATGATGCAATGAAAAACACTGTCAAATATTTCATTGATATAAACATCATATTTACCAAATGTTATTCTTGGGGCTTTATATAGATATTGTTAATTCTGATTTAACTCTTAAACTTAAGACAAGAGATTGAAAACATTTAATTTGACAGTTACCTATGAAATGGATTTTCACATAGCTATCGTTAGTTTCTGTGTCATCTAATATGTAGACAGGATATAATCCAGGAGTAAGTCTATCTGCACCGAGACACTTTCCCCTTGCAGGTCCAATATCAACAGAATATAGTTCTCTGAAATCATTATAAATTAATGAATTTCATTTCAACACTACCAGGTATATAATGATAAATAGGCATAGGCTGGTTAGGGATGGGATTGGGGTTATGGAGGGGAAATGGGATTGGGATGTCGGTTGTGATTTGATTTATCAGGTGTAATGTCCTACAATTTCCATGCACAAATTTCCCCAGACACTGGATTCCAAAATAATAACTCCTGTATCACTTCAGTCTAAAATCAGAAACTATTGTTTTAACACTCGCTTCAACTATAAGTTAACATTGATATTATACTCACTTATAAGATCCTACTGGGTCTCCAGTAGATCCAGCTTTGAGATTTGTAATTCTCCGTCTTCGCGCTGTTGCCATTTTTCTTTTCTCCAGGCCTCTAGATAACTTACATAAATTACAAAACATAAATTCTATGTAATAGCAGTCTAAAACATACAGGGGCTCACTCATTTCTCCTATGTACTTAACTATATCCGTGATGCTACAGAGTTTTATGTGTTCATTCACCCTTTTCATTACCATACATTTTGTTTCTTCTGTTTAAAACATTTTTCCCCATATAATGATAAGTAAGGAAATGAATCACACTTCAAAATCATGACAGATAATTAGGAGATCAAACCGGCTCTCTGTTATGATTAAATGTCTAAAATCGAGATGAGTGTGGTAGGGGAGGCAACTCCTAGATTTGTAAGCTATATTTGTTTCGGTCAAATCTGCGTGTCTGTCTCACTAAAGTTTCGATGATTCGTGCACGGACACCAAACTCTTTTTATAAAGTTCTTTTTATCATGGTTATGGTAAAGGAATGTATCAAAAGTCTCGTCATCACATGAACTTGATGTGACCTTTGCCATAGAACTCGACAAGTACATACAACAAGAGGTCCATGGTCATTAAGGGTCATTTGACTATGAAGACCTTTATATGAAAGAAACCTAACAGGCCTCAAGTACATTGCTCAACTACTCTACAGCTTACATAGAAGACATTGGTTGGTTAATAAAGACATTTTCTTCAAACCTGAAATAATATTCTCTATACATGCACTAAACAAATGCCATTACTCTGACATATTGTTTGTTGAAAAAGCAGCTACAGACCCAATATCAAGACCCTTGGCCTTTTGATTATTGAGAAGTAATTGTGAAAGCACTTCAACACATTTGACCCCTGTGGAACACCTTGGTAGCCCTTCATCCCAGCATGCTACAGGCCTAATATAAGCAACATGGTGCTTTCCGTAATTTAGAAGAAGTTGCTTTAATACTTCAACACATTTTACCCTTGTGACCTTGAAAGTAAGTCAAGGTAGTTCATTTGAACAAACTTGGTAGCCCTTCATCCTAGCATGCTATAGGCCCAATATCAGTACCCTGGCCTTTTTGGTCATTTGAATGGAAAGTTTATGTGCGGCAGATGGCACACGGTCTGTGACGATGGATGAAACATGATGCCTATTGGTCATCCCTACCCTTCTAAAAATTAAGCAAATGTAATATTTTTGTGGCATAAAGCTAATCCTGAAATCATTTCCCCACAGAACATCACATATGTTACACACATGAAGTATTGCACATATTAAACTTGTATGGGTCTTTGTTACCTACATTTGACCTTTGAACAAAATTGCTGAAATTCAAGAGAAGAAAACTGGTTTGCCTAACATATCTATGGATAAATGTGCCTCTGATGTACATTGAAATTGGTATTAAGATAAATGAGAAATAATTGCAAGGGTTGCCACAGATCGAGAGCTTCATGAAGTCAATCTTAACCTTATAGATTCAAAAATACATACATATCTTATAGTACATCGCTTCATGTCTGAACGTCAGACTTTTAAAAGAACATCAATTGGAAATATCCTATTTTCTATTTTACTTGCGATCTAAATCTCAGCAGAAACACTGATTAAAATCAGATCTGAATTTCACTCTGTACACAAAAAGTATATGTCTGTACACTTCAGGACATTGTTTCATCAAGAAAAAGTATATGTTCATGTCTCTACACTTCAAATTCTGATAGGAATTGATTACCGGGTACTTTGCAGAAATGGGGTTTATATAAGAGCTGTCTTGTTTCACATCACTTGCTTGTTTAGTGTTCGTAACATAATGTCATACAATATCAGATGGAGTCATTTGAGGACATTTTTATAGTACCATCACACTGTAATGTCAAAACCTGGATACAGAAGCCTTGCATGCCATCCATTCACATGTAAAACTACCAATTCTTATAGACTTTGGTTTGTTTCCATCAGTTGACTTTACCAACAGCATTTCCTGCTTTTGCAAACACTTAACACTTATTCCAAAAGTGACATTTATAATATAATATATGCAACTGAGATGAAAGTTAACTAAGAAGAAATGGAAACAGATATCTTAAATTTCATTTTATTTTCAGGGACACAGCTTCCAACACTTGCTATCGAATACTGATCTAACCACCAGAGTAGGTCCATATTCAGCTGGACTACAACAAGTTATAAAATCCCTGTGGTGATTTCTATTTCTGACAAAACTGCTTTGAACAAATAAATTCCTGAATCAATTTCAATTTGTACATTACCACATTTTTTATTCCACTTAGAAGAGTAACAATTAACAAACATTGTAAAATCTGGAAAATGTACGAACGAACTCAAGCATGATTGTTCTTCATAACTATTAAAGCCAGTATTATTTTAATGAAACGAAAATCCAAATATATATAAACATATGTTTACAAAAATCTTGTCATAAAGTTGTGTCAATTTTCTATGAAATAACATTCTCCTTATGAGCACATTGTAAAAAAATAGTGATAAAGGAATTATGAAGATATTTTCTAATTAAAAACAGTTTTTTTCTCATTTTATTTCATACATCTAATTAATTCACATGTTATTTTATGTCCTGTAATGATGCCACTCTGCCTTCAGAGGTATACAATGTGTTATATCTATCATTCAATAAGGACTAGAATTATTAGTTAATTAAACAATTTTATAGATTTAAAATGTATCTATCTCATTGAAATAGAATCACATACCTCAATCTAAGTTCAGATGTAGTTTGTATTTTGTAATAATTTATGGCTTCAATATTTTAACACATTGAAATAGACAACCAATATTTATTCCATTACATCATGGAATTAGTTGAACAGCTGTTTAGACTTCAGGAAAAAAAATGCATTTCTAGATATTTATTTCGTCATGAAACCATCTCATCACCCAGAATATGTTTAGCATGTCTTAAAATTTCAAAAATATACAATTCATTATTTTTGTATCTGTAATTTCATTTAAGAAACGATGAAGAAAATGTATTTTCTCTCTCTCTTTATGGTTTCTTTTGGATTCTGAAGAATTAAAAACAGTATTATCAAATAGTGCAATAAATACTGGCAATTATTTAGAATTTTCTGACAAATTTTAAATTTGACATCACAACATGTATGGTCCCAATAACAGTTTACAATAATTGGAAAATGGTCAGGTCTGTGTTACAACAGTAAATAACACTAAGTTATCCATTTTGTTCACAATTTCTTGATTAAATGCTATTTAATTTGCTTACACTTAAAATGTTTCCAATTCCTGAAAGATTTTGCCCCTTTACAGTACTACATCTACAGATCATTCTTCATGATGTAAAATTTTTCTTCGCTATAAATATCACCCTTGAGAAGAAAGTCTATCAAAACCTTCTAATAAACAAGCACCACATCAATCAGTTTTTAAACTGATATCTCTCAAAGCATATAGACCCTCACATGACAACATCCACCAATCACAGCCGTTGAAACTTTAAATCAATCACATTTTCCCCTCTCATACTGGTAATGTTTTCTGAACAGTTTTTGACGCAGCTGCATAAAATATTTTTGAAAAAAATTTCATTCCAGTCTGACCTCCAGGAATATAACTGACAATATACCTGTGAATAAAAAAAATGAAAATATTAAACAAAATTCTTCATATAAATTTCTTGCAATTCAAACAGATTTAAATGTAAATATATTAAATTTAAACAGATTAATTTAAATTTGAAAAAAAAGAGATTCTGGGTAGATTTTTTAGGTAGATATCATTATTTGAAAATAAATAATAAATATGGAAATATTAACTAAATTTTTAATATCTATCGGGATGTTTCTTATGAGTGTCTATATTGATAATGGCTTCAACAATATATACTTTCATAGAAGTCACAAAATTCAAAATGTAAATTAATCTATTTTTAAACTACTTATTTCAAAATTTTCAAGCTGTACAAGACCAAATATTTTTGATGAAAAGCAAATAGAATTTGATTATGAAAAACTTCTGCTGGCTATTACACTAGACATTACATAATTTGACTGAGAGATTTATTATGTGGAGCTAGAGGAAAACTTAGACTAGAACTAACATTGATGTATATAATAGTAATATAAGATCTTTCAACCAATGCAATCAGGTCATGAATGAAATCTTACTTTTTAAATTAAAGAAAGAAAATAATTAATGGTACCAGATGTTAAAAATTACCAGGGACAAATCTCATCTGTAATGTTAAATAAGGTACGTACCACACAAGAGCCAGGATTTGTGCAACAGCACATATAACCGTAAATATTGTACTTCTAACCTGTCAACAGAGAAGGAAATTTTGGTTAATTAGTTCCATCCTTAAAATTACAAACAAGAGGGTCATGACCCTAAACAGTTATCTGACAATCGATGAAGGGGTGGACAAACCACTGAATTTGCTGATGGTGGTCTGACAAATCTGATGAATTCAAATTTTGAACATTCGTTAAAAGTATCAGAAACTCATAAATGGTAAGTTCCATACATGAAAAACAGTTGCGCAATCATATTACAAAATGGTGTCTGTGGTTGAAGTTTTGATCAGACTGAAAAATAACACCACAAATCAAACTCCGAATTTTTTTGTTAATGGTGTGAATGAAATTCGCTAAGTAGTTCAGACTATTTCTTCAAGATGAAATATGTTGGATTTTGGATCAAAGCGGAAAAGTAAGATTTGGTCAGTACAATCTCAGGATCACTTTAATTCATGCACTTTTGATATTATCCCTAATAATGTTTCAGACCAAAAATTGGTTGTCTACTCAGGCATTTAGCAGGAATAGCCTTTTCTTTGAGCAAAATATTGTCTAACTTCCACTTTTGGAGCCCCATACCAAAGTCCTTAGGGGTTGAACCAACATTCTGAATTTAAGAAATGATTCTCCACCCTCTACTATGTTTAAGACGAAATTTGGTTGAAATTCACTCAAACATTAAGAAGAGAAGCATTTTGAAACAAAATATTGACTAACTTCCCCATTAAGAGCTCTACCACTCAGTCCCTAGGGGTCATATCAACTTTCTTAATTAAAAAAAAAGATTCTCCACCCTCAATGATGTTTCAGACAAAATTTGAATGAAACACATTCAAGCATTCAGGAAGAATAGCATTTTGAAGCAAAGTATTGTCTAACTAACTTTTTTGGGCCCAATTCCTAGATCCCTAAGTAATCAGAACAATTTTTTCTGAATTTAAGATATAATTTCCTACCCCCTATGATTTTTCTGCCCAAATTTGGTTTAAATTAGCCAAGGTGTTCAGCAGGAACAGTGATTTAAAGGAAAATTTTAGGTATGGCGCACATGCAAGACGATGGACAATGCGTGGTAGCAATAGGTTATCTTGACTGTTCGGGTCAGAGGGAAGTATAAATTTTACAAATTCAGAGGGTTTCGTACCCTCATTCAGGAGTATTAGGGAACAATGATATTTAAAACAGTATTTAAATACTGTGATAAATGTTACTTACCCATAAGGAAAAATAAAGTGTTGCAACCATTGTACCAAAGTAAGCTACTGTAAACGGCATACGCTCTACTGAACACAGATGTTTAATGTGGTTCATTGGGCCCCATAGTAATGAAAAGCTGAAAATAGATGAAAACATATTACAAAGAATCTCATAATACAAATCATATATTTGAAGAGAACTGAAAAAAGAATTTATTGATAAATCAATAACTGTACTACCAACAGTCCCAACATGTTGTTGATAAAGCAGGAGATGTTTACCCTGTGGAACACCTGGTCTTTTTTTTTTGTATTTTGTGGGTCTTTGAGAAAATATTTCTTTTGCCTTTCTTTCATCATAGATGTAAGATTTTTGTAACACGTTACATTGTAGATGTGTTCTTGCTGTTTCTCTTATGTCATTCAAATAATTAAAGAAATTAAAACATTTTTGTTAATTTTTAGGTAACAGACATAAATAAAAACCTCATCCTACTATTTAGTTAAAAAATGTAAAAATCTTGTAAATGTGAAAATCTTTTTGAAGGTTTCAAATTTTTTAAAAACTTGTTTTTTTCTTATTTACCAGAACATCAGTACTCTCAAATGAGACATCTTTAGAAATTCCAATAACTTGTCTCTTAACTCAGATAAAGTCAACATGTAAATAACAACAATTAGAGAATCCTTAAAGAGGTCACTTTAGGGAAGTGGGCTCTGGACAAAGGTTAACTGTGTCTAGTGTACATTTCATGACATGAAATCCTAGTGATTACAGTGGTAAGGTTGTTCGAAGCAATATCATGAGAATAAAGTGAATAAGAAGTGAAGAAAAATTACAAGAGGAAGACAAAAATATTTTGAATATCACAACAGATCATATATACCGTGTAATAAGCTCACAGGGCTAGCAAGTCACTTCTTACATTAAGTCAGGGGGCAGGCATATTACATGTACATGTGTAGAATTGGTTTATAATTTTACTGAACTGCAATATATATATATGGTTAAGCTAATTACCAGGCATGAGTTTATAACCTGTCGAATGTATTTTCGTCTTTTTTACCTTGAAATGATAAATACACTTCCAAGAGAATACAGAACAGCAAATTTCCTTGCTTTCAGCAACAGTAAGGGTATGTAAAGACTTGCCTGAAATAAGAAGTAAGAGATTTATATGCAAAAATAAACAACAGGATATGCAGAATATATTTATTTTATCACATTATTATTTAATTGATGTGGAAACTAACCTGACAAACACATCACATCAAGTGCTAAGTTTGTACAATACCTTCTTTTCATTATAATGGCAAAGGATAAAATCATGTTACAGATGTTTAATTAATCATCTAAAATACATAAAATATTTTTCATTTGAGAAAAAAATTCATTTTACAATTTTCCTTGACCCTTTGTATCTTCATCTCCTCTGTCTTAATTTATGCAATGAAAATATTTGAAGAAATGAAGCCATATTTACCAAAGAGAAACAAAATGTCCCCATCAGCAAGCAAATTACAAATCCTAGTATCCTTTGTTTTTTGGTCTGAAAATAAAACAGAAATAAATATTCATCAATCTCATCTTGGCCCTTTCTTTTCTCAAAGCCACTTAAATATTGTTTTAAATAACTAACACACTTTAATTTACACAGTTTGGTATCACTTTCTATGACCAGTTAATGACCTGTTTGCTCAGTTGAACATGATCATAAGTTATTTGTTAAAAGTTAAAAGGTGATAGGCTTTGAAACAATTTTCAAAATATTTACTTACTATAATAAGTTGTGAGTTTAATCAGCATAGATTCAAAATACTGTTATGCTCCTAACATGAAATCTTCACAAAGGGCAATAACTCTGTAACTTAACGGTTGTGGACAGTGACTTTGGTACACTGCACACTGCCTTAGTATGACGGATGTATACACCAAATTTGAATATCCACGTTTAAATGCAAGCAAAGTTATGCGCCTGAAAAGGGGCAGTAACTTTGTAATTAAGGGGTTCCAACACTGAATACAGTGCACATCGTTTTAATATGACAAATGTATAAACCAAGTTTCATAAGCCTAGCTGAAATGCGAGCAAAAAATCATGGTCCAGTTGCAAGGGCAATAACTCCATAAATGCAAAGGTGGGACAGGAATTTGGAAACTGCACACCACTTAAGTGTGACTGATGTACACACCAAGTTTCACGATACTTGCTTGACTGTAGTCAAGGGTATGCCATGGACAAGAAAAGGACGGATGAACGGACGAACCAACAACTGTGCGTTTTGAAAATGTTAATGTAACATAAAATAAAATTGTGCATCAACATAGTCAGAACCCTTCAGACAACTTTCAAATAGGAGTTCAATCTGAGTTTTAGAGATGACTTCGACAATCTCTTGTCTGGTTTAGGAGTCAGAAGAAATTCGGGTTAGTTGTGGAAGAATTAGATTAGTGATTAGGGGCAAGATAAAATGTTTGTTCCTAGATATAAGAGATTTGAAGTGGTGTACACTTTATAAAGCATTTAGTTGTGAAAAACGTAACCAGAACTGAATATGAAACAACCAAAGCGTTCTACCCGAACATAACACTACAACATTGTTTTTACCAGACTTGGTAAGAGAGGATCTCTCTGCGCCTGCGAAAACCAGCTGTTGGCCACGTCATCATTGCTCAAAGGCGCTTCTTCTGACGATTTCTTAAATACATTTAACTTTCCAAAGCTAAATCCACCAGAAGTTCCCCTGTCATCTGTTTCTGAAGACCCCGATACAGAACTTCTTGATAAGTAATCCTGTAAGTCCTTGTTCAGTCCTGCCATGTTGGAACCAAACGTTACTTGACACAAGTGGATCTAATTTCATAATGGTAATTTCAGTAGAATTAATTTTATTCAAACACTTTTCTTTCTTGTAGATAAGATAGAAAAGATGAATAATCCAGTGCAATATTCTAATCTCAAAACATATACAAAAAAATAACAACTGGTCAGAAAAGTAAGAAATTCAATTGTAGATATGTTGTGTGCTGAGTAATATCAGGAGGCGGAAGTGTCTGTTCTCACCTGACAAGTAAAGAATGTTTTGATAAAAAAATGTGAAAATTGTTATTAGGCGAAATGGCTTCAGCACCGGAACGTCTCCGGTTAAAAGACAGAATCATAGCTAGTGTCGCAAAGTCTGTCAAGTCGGTAAGATTTCTTAAATATGTCTGATTTCCCCAGAATGTATACATAATTATTTTGACAGAATCACATGATTATGATGATACCGATATTGATAGGATATAGATCCCAAACGATCACATATACACTAAACGTTTATAGTTACAAACTGTATATAGCCACTTCCGCATAGTTTTGACTATTGTCTCATGGATATGTTTATCTAGGACTTCAGCAGTTCGGTTATTAATTTAATTTGCTAAAAATAGAAACAACGTTTGTAATGATTACAATTATTCAGCGGTATTTCATCTTTGGGATTATTTTCAAATGAGAAGTTAATGACTTATATCATAAGATGCATGATGAATTGATTTCTTAGGTTATAAGTAAAGAACCTCTAAGATCTCGAGCTGATGAAGCTGTCATATTGCTATCATAGAAAGATTTGGTCATTTGCAAGTTGTGTAGAAAGTGTACTGAAAAGATATCACTATTCACTTTCTTGCTCGGTGTTCAGGCTTCTGCATGAGTTGTGACAATTTACAGATATCTAGATTATCTCATTAACTTTCTTGTGGTTCAGTAATAGATTTCCTTTGACATAAGAAAAATGATGGCTAATGTTAAGCTTTCCATTGCTGTTATAGGAGCTTCCAAGAATCTGTTCCCTTTCACAAATTTAAAGTAATATCTAGATCAGTGTTAATGAAATATGTATTCTCAAATATGTCTACAGAGGAAAGTTGGTGAAATAACGTGCATGTGAGTCTAAGTGATTTACAGTATGGATTATGGAATTTGTTTAGTGTATGATTACTTCAAAAAGTAAACATAAAAAAATAAATCTCTTTGAATTGAACCACCTGTCAACATTTAAACCGATTCCTTGCAATCAAGTTGAGACAGAGAGAGACCCTCTCTTGTCAGTTAAGTTTATTTTCTCCTTCCTATCATATAGCATATTAAGAGATGATAGATGGTATATATGTTGGAGATATAAATTACAATTGATATAAAGCACTTTATACAAGTATTACAAGAACAATCAGTGGCACAAAACATGCAGTCCTGAACAGGTGTAATGTTCACCTGCACTAGCGGATGAGAAATAACATGTACTGAAGATTTTTAAATTTACAGATTCAGGAATACCAGGTGGCATGTGGCTGTGGAGAAGACCCTGTCTATCTCACCAATACTGACCGCCCTTGTCAGCGACTCACAGAAAACTTTGATCATGTTTTCCTTCATGGGTAAGATATTTAAGACAGGAAAGTGATTGGATTTAAAGCCCAAATATACATAATGTTCACTAAAAAAGCAAAGAGAAAATGAAATCTGTTTATATCAAGATAACATATATATTGCAGTGGACATTTTATTAGAACTGATCTTGGTACAGTACAATAATTCCAGAATTTGTTTGTTTCTCAGACTGAGACACATTAACTATGGTTACTGGAAAGTTGTGAAGGAGTTTACCAGGAAGGATGCTGTCAAAGAGATCAGTCGTCTCCGTAACATCACAACAGACCTAGGACGAGGTAAGACCACAGAAATACCTGAAATAATGTAAGATGCTGGATACAAATACCTGATGAGGTATCAGTTAGTGAGGATAAGGATTGGGAATTTCTGAGAAAAATTTCAACATTTTCAATAAATATGTAGGTAATTTGTCTTCTCAATAAAGGAATAGATACTAGTGTGATATGTACACTACGGATTGTGGGACTTTCGAAGGATAAAGTTTGGCAGAACTGCAAATGACTAGAAATCGGACTAAAATGTCAGACCTTATGGTTCTGACAAGTGATACGATCAGTTCAGAATACAGTAAACAAAAGCAGTAAGTCAAGGGAGACAATTCATACAGATACTTAATAGAATCTTCCCCTACCCTGAGGGTGTGATAGAGAAATCTCCAACCCGAGGGGTGATTTTTGTTGTTGTCTAACCCGAGGCTCTGCCGAGGGTTAGACTACAAAAAAATCACCCCGAGGGTTGGAGATTTCTCTGTCACATCCTCTGAGGGTAGGGGTTGATTATTTTTCTCCCACCCCATTATTTCCGCCACAACGTAAAAAAAAAAAATCCCACGGTTCAAGTGTCTGAATGGCGCATGAATATCACCATTCACGTTTCCAAAATTCTACATTCTTCCGCTAGAGCAAAATGACAGACTACAAACGCAATATGAATAACCATTAGAAATATTTATTTTTTGGAAATTAAATATTTTAATTAGCAATAGATACATGGAAAAACTTGTATTGAACAACATTTAACTCCGTATCATTTATTAAGGTAGGGTAGGCTTGCCGCGATGTCATGGACAAAAAGGGGATTTCCCAGTTTATAAAGACGTCAATTGTTTATGCGCGCGAAATATTGCAATGGCGTGAGTGTCACGCGTGTGTTGATTCAGAATCAGAGTCATAGATGATCCTCTGACGTTTATTTGTGTTCACTGGACAAGTATTGTTACAGTTAATGTTAACTGTGATGTTACAGTCGCGCATTACGGAACTAGCAAACAAAGCATCCACTCGTCGGTTTGAGTCAGTTGTGATAGCCGACTGAGGTCACCGAGTGCAGTCATGTGGGATAGATTTATCCTCCATGGGTGTTCCACATGGGACATGTCTATCCTACATGGGCAGAGGTGGGAGAAAAACTTGTTATAATGTATTTCAAATTGATATTAGCTTTGTCTTCTTTATCAGGGAGGGCATGGCTGATGATGACCTTGAATGAATGTGTCCTAGAAAGTTACATTCGATGTTACCTTGACAATAAGAAGCTTGTGAAGAAACATTACGTACGCGAGGCTTTTGTCCTTGATGATCAGGTATGGAGAACGTTATAGTTAGGATAAATTATATTAATTGTCCCAACCTGTGCAATCTGACACCTTTTGGTCTGTAACTATCATTATGTTTGGTGGGTTTCATATATCTGTTGCCTGGATACCACTCAGTATGCAGGGTGATTGAGGAATAGGGAAAGAAATGAGAGTAGAAGTTAATCGAAACAAGCGTGGGATAAGTTCAAAGTTTGGACAAAACCGATAGTCATTTCCTGATTAATTTTATCTAGAGCTTGCTTGGATTGATTCCCTTAATTTTAGAACTAATAAATGTTTTATAAGGGACTGCAAAAAGTTGATGACTTTGAATTTGTACATTTCTACTAGTACTTTGCATCCTTCATTAATCCTGGTGGGAATGGTCAGTTATTGGTGGCAACATAATTATGATGTTTGATTCAAAATAGAAATGGAGGGCGTTGGCTCAATACAGGACAGTGAAACACACTGTTGTATAATAATGTTACAAAATTACTGTTTCTGTAATAGAGATGGGCGGGCTTGTAATCTGGCCTGGGGTCATTGCTGGAAACATGTTCTTATAACTAAGAAAAAGTGTATTATATTAATGATGGTGGTGACTTGATATGATGTAATGGCTGTTATGTTTCAGAGGATGAATGTTTTACTTACACTGACCTCAGGATTGGAGCATGCCATTTTCCAGTTGGACATTGTATGTAAAATTATTTTTTAAAAGTTATTATTATTTATCTTTTTTTCTGTTTTTAAGATTATCACAAAATATGGATTATAAAGTAATAAAATGATGGAGTTGGCTTGTCCTATTCACTTTGGAGAGCCTATGCTATTCTGATCCAAGTATCCCAAAACTTACCTTTGGGTGCAAGGGCTTCTGCCTTGACAGGAAAATCTATAAGCAAGTGTTTTGAGGCAAAATGATTACGTCTTTAACATATGAGTTATTTTGATATTGAGAATAGGGTAGTGTTAAGTAAGAAATTTCTGTATTATAGGGTTTGGATATGTTATCACTGGCCATCAGTCCTGTGTTTGAAAGATGATTTAAAGTTTATCCTTTGTGTTTTAAACATCATCTGAATACCTGTATTTTAAAGATATTTTTTCATTCTGATAAAGTTGTGTGTTAAACACATGCAGAATGAATCTACATATTTTTTATTAGACTACTGCTACTTTTGTAATTATGGAGGACTTTGTTTCATCAAATTGAGCTGGGGTATTTTTACCTTGTTTTTAGAAGAAAAGTACATATTTGAAAAGAAAATTTTAAGAGTAAATTACAAATTATGAAAATTGGCATAAATATGAAATAATTTCAGTTAGGAATGTGACCTTTAATCTGCCCCCCAAAAATCTTCAAAACAACCCTTGCTTTGTAAGCTTTATTCACATATTTTGACCTTGACCTAAAGGTATTATTGGATGTTTCTAATAACTAGATATAAGTTGATGAAAATTATCCAACAAATATTTAGACACACCAGAGGTCATGGTAACAAGAATTTTGTCTTTACTTCCAATTCACAGGATGTGCCCTATCTTGATCTTGGTACCTACCCACCGGGCAGTCGGTCAAGGACAAGTTCAGCCAACTCAGCAGGACAGGATGATGACCATGTGTCTCTGTGTAGTATGGACAGCTTCACAGCTTCAGTTTCTCCCCGGGGACGTAATATGGTAAGTTAGTTTTAGCAATGAATGTTGTTGAAGATCTCATATCAGAAATAAACGAAATCTTATTGGAGATCTTCACTCAGTAAAAGTAGAGAGTGAATCAGAGTTCTTCAATCAGAGATTTTGAATGGGGTTCATTGATAGATGAGAGAAAGTGAATGGAATTCTCAGATCACAAAAAAAGAGAAAGTGAATGGGCTTCTTTGATAAAGAAATAAGAGACAGTATATGGGAGGTCTTGGATAAGAACTAGCAGAAAATGAATGGGAGATATCAGGTCAGAAGTAAGAGATATGTTATGGAAGATATCAGATTAAAACAAGAGAAATTGTTGCAGAGATCTTTATCAGAAATAAGGGAAAGAATCAGAGATCTTAGGTCAGAAATAAGGGAAAGAATCAGAGATCTTGAACAGAAACAAGGGAAAGAATCAGAGATCTTAGGACAGAAACAAGGGAAAGAATCAGAGATCTTAGATAGGAAACAAGGGAAAGTGTTAAAAAGATATTAGATCAAAAACAAGGGTTTGTGTTGGAGAAATCTAGATCAGAAACAAGGGAGAGTGTATTGGAGATATCTAATTTGAATCAATGTGTAATAGTTCATTATACAAGAAATATTATTTGACAAAATTGATTTTACATTCCTAATTTCTTATCCTGCATCATTTCCTTTTAGTCATTCACTGCTGCAGTGGAATATAAAGGTACAAATTCTACTGAGAGTGACACACATAGTCAAAACAGTGAAGAGACATGTCAGTCAAAGGCCGGGTCTGTAGACTCTGGGATATTGGTGAGTGATCGGGATAATCATGTTGACTCCAAAAGGTCACAAAGTTTCTATAGAGTTCATGATCGAGAACTCTCATTGGAGGAACAGGAAGAAGAGTTGAAGGTTATCCGTGTTTCTGCAGGTAAAAAAAAGAAAAAATCATCAAAAAAAGGACATATGAAAGTTCACAAAGAGAAAGTACATCCTGAAGATGTGTCTGTCCAACAATCGCCAGATACCAAAAGTATACCACAGAATTCATGGTCATCACGGGAACCAAGCTTGTCAGATATTCTTGATTTTGATAATAGTGATTATAGCAATCTCCCAGACCGCTCACCCGGGGATGGTATGGAGAGCAGTCAAGAATCGTTTGATGCGAACCTTGTTCATCGAGGTAACGACAAATCTAAGGTGATGGAAAACTACAATATTGCATTTGTGGACATGAGTAAAGAGGATTGTGATTACAATATTTATAAACACACTCAAATACAAAACTCACAATCAGACTTCTTTAATGTTTATAAAGATTCTCAAAATGCTCGCAGGACTTCTATAGAACAACAGGCATTAGATTTAGCTGCAAGTTCAAAATCTGGTGAAATAAAAAATGGAGTTATGTCCCTTGCTAATGATTTACCTGTGAAAAATGATGTGTTTGAGGAGAGAGCTGAAACTGAAGCCAGTGTTGACGAACCAGATGATACTGAGGGAAAGTGTTTACAATGGCAAAAAGAAGCCTCGCAAGTCTGTGAAGACACAAGTGGAATTGAAAATGTTAGCAAACAGACAGAGGATTACAGTGTGAGAGTTTCAAACAGTGATACTGATAAACACTCATTGAATTGCAGCACTGAAACATCATCTCATGACAAGTCAAACATTGTTGGGAAAAGTGCAATAAATTCCTCGTCAACCAATCAGAAATCAGCAACATCAGAAATGGAGGATCGTGTGAATGACATGATTAACCAAACTAATACTCATCTCCACCGTGGCATGTTCGAAGAAGAGCCGGAGGACATTGATATTGAAAATGGAAATGTTTTGGTGGATGAAGAAGAAACTGTGGCTGGGGAAGTAAGGTGAGTGTTTAGACAAAGAAACCAGGATAATAACTTACTGACAAGTCAGGCATTTAAAATGTTTTCTCCTATGGAGCAAAAACTTTAAAGTAATTTGATGAAAGTTTTGTATAGATTTTCATAGAATACTGACAGTTTTCAGTCGTATTTAAAATTTTACATGCATTCATTAATGTGATTGCAAAAACTGAAACTGTAAGATAATGAAAAACATGTGTATGAGATGTCAGTTTGAATCCAGATCAGGAAATTGTGATGCATTGAAATATTACTTGATCGTTCTTAAAAGAAATTTGCAAAAGTTTTGACCCATGAAAATTATTAGCAATACAGTAAATTCATAAAATTAAATAGTTCCTTTTTGTTGATATTGTTCTGTTTTAGAGGTCATGAACTGTTTGCGTGTGTTCTTGAGTACAGGATTAATTAAATTGCTGCTGAAATGCATGAGACCTAGTATCTTGACCATGAAAATATTTACATTAATTTGTTTCTCTGTCAGATTGAACAACAACACACAGCTCTACTTGATGTTGGATGTGTTCGACGATTCAGATGAAGAGTTCATCAAGGTATGTCACAATCAATAGTCAAAACTTTTGGACAAGTTATCAAAATATTTATCTCTAACTCAGTAGATATAAGTATAGTTTATGAATAAAATTGTTTATGCGTGATTAAAAGACATCTTATTTGGCAAAGCTATCAATTCATCAGCAGAACGGAAATTAATTACACAATGTAATTAGATATGTGATTAATTGATATAGACGTGTGTTAATTAATGCCATATAAGGAAGTGGTTCTAGTTGAGATCTGCATCTTACAGGCATTTGCCACACGGACGGGTCACACAGAAGGAGAAGCTAAGACTCTGTTCTTGTTGGTAACTAACCGCGCCCTCCACCTACTGTCGCAGACCCAGAGTGACCATCGTTTTGTGAAGGACTCATCAGTCTCTTATCAACAACTGGACTATATTTCTGTAAATATTCATAAAGATGATTTACAACTCAATTAATCTATAATAAAATAAACTTCCTCTGTAATATAAAGGATAAAGAATGAAGATTTATCTTTAGGATGCTTAGTAAACTGGTTCCTTTTTCTTTTTCCTTATTTTTACTTTCATTCTAGATAGGTAATAGATATGATGGAAAGAATACTTTTTACGATAGCTGTACATTAATAACAAAACAGGAAATAGATTAGTTTGAAATACATTTCAAGGTACCTGGTATTCATATTTCTTTCAGCATTTCAGAAAGGAAATGAATTTGATGACTGGTTTTCCAGGATACAAAGCGTATCATAATTTCAGATGAGGAAGTTACTTATAACATATCCTGATGAATGTGATAGTCTGAGGTGTTTTTTATTGCAGCTAAGTCTGTCGGATCAGGTGATCCAGATTGTATGTCTTAACCGACGTAAACAGTATTGGATCACAACAGGAAGTCAGCTCATTACTAGGTATTTACAACAATTTGTTATTTATACTAACAACCAGGAACATAGCACTGTATTGTTTAATTCATTATGCTCTCTGTAGGGACAGCATATACTCACTGCTTTGTTCATCTGTCCTTTTGTCCATCCGTCAGAATTTTGTCCGGAGCATAATTCAAAAACTATAAGAGGTATCAACATTAAACTTTATAGGTTGATAGACCTTCGTGATGTTAAGTGCAATGTACAAGAACTATAACTCTTTTTTATTATAAAAGATTTATTGCCCTTTCTTATGTTTCATTCTTAAATTTTGTCCAATTGTGGAGCATGACTTTTTTTTTTAAACATTCACTCAAGTTTTCATAACTTCATTTCCAGGAGAAAAACCTTGCGTTCAATATTAATTTATTCCCTTGTCAGGGCAGTTCCAGTAAAACATCTATTTGGCCAAGAACTCCATCCATGGTTTGGTTGTGTGCTTATTACTTCTAAGCAAATCATTTAAATTCTGTAGTTGATACCATTGTACCAAGCCTGAGGTCCTGGGGTGGAAGAGATGATTTTTTTAGAAAATCCCTCAGTATTTTTCTGACCATCCAGTGGATGTTGGCAATATAGACAGGAAATGTGACCTGTTATGTTAGCTTTTCTAACTAATTGTATATTCCAAGGCTGTTGATGACAAACAAACATCAGTATTTGATTTATGTCTCATTAAGCTGTGTCAGTTGTAGGATTTTTGAACCAGGTCACAGAAATTGACGATTTTGAAGTCTGTAGTTGTATTACAATGTATACATATATTGTCCAACAGGGCTATTGTGGGTTGTCTAAGCCAGGCCATAGACAGGGGTGATTTTGATGTACCCAAGGTTTCTGTATTAACTGATGCCACAACACAAAAGATAGCCCTAAAGAAATATGCTGCAGAAGAATGCAAATGTGACGTGAGTACACACTAGTTGTATATCTATATGTAAAATATATACTGTCATAATGATTGCTTATGTACATCTTAATACACTTTCCTGTCTGGACAGAAAATAGAGGTCAAATTTCGATGATCTTTTCTTACAATGTAAAATTATATATCTTCCTGTACGCACTCATTTAGAATTTCCTGACAATGATATCAGTAAGATTTGGAGAAAAAATCAATGTTGTCTTGTATTTTGTTTTTTTACTGTCTATCAAAAATACCAATACAAGTTATAGAGGAAAATTTCCTAAGTAAAAAAAGATTAAAAGCATTTCTCATTTCTAGCTCTAAATTAGATTTTGATCGAGGCAAAAATAATCAAAAAATATTATCATCTTTCAGACTTTTAATTTTAGATTTTTTCTGTACAGTTTCCATAGATTGAGAACAATTTTTAGCTTAAGTTGATATATGATGGTCAGTATTACTGTATACCTTACAGAGAATGGTTATTGTACTGTTTAAAGGTACCTGATGTTGAAATCTGCTGTTACTCACTTGTACACTGGGATGACCCAACAGCAAAGGGGAATAATTCTGACAATACATACAGAGAAGGCCACCTTCTGTACAAGATCAATGAGGCAGGAGCGTCACTTGGTAGCACACTCCTAAGTACCGTTCAGGATCCCACTACCCTCATCTATGGGACAACGTGGAAACCAGCCTATGTAGTCCTCAAGTAGGTTTTTGACTGTAGTTATATAAATGAGAGGGCATAGTATTTTTACACAAGGTTACACTATTTAGCTCATTTTCAACTTAAGTGGGGAGTCATAGTTCCGAGATTTTTTCTTTCTCACTTGATTAAAATTTTCCGGAAGAATTAATTCGATTTAAGGATCGAAAAATTACTTTTAGAGATTGTTGCAAAAGGGATCCTTTATGCTCTGTTTTATAACTAAAAAAAAGTCTTTTTCCGTAATCAATATGTTATTTTCTGAAAATTCAGAAAATATAAGAAAGATCTTCTCATTTTTTATTTGCACAAAATTTTACCATATTTTTTATTTATACCAGGACAGGAAGTTATAAACTTCAGGTAGAAAAAAAGAAAAACATGTTAAACAATGCATAACATATGCTGTTTTGAATAAACTTCTTCCAAATTTTCCTGTGAAGTTTAAAAAGTTTTGAAAATCTGTTTATTGAGGTGAAGTGAAAATATATGTCCTGCATTTACCCTGATTATAACAGGGTTTAGAGAAACTTAAAAACTTCTTGCTTATTGGCCATATTTGACATCTTGTTGTTGAATTGAAGTATTAGGTCAGGGAAAAAGGTTGACGATCATGGTACTTCCAGGCTATCTGAATTAATTATAAGTTAAGCTTATCTAGTCCACAGACAGTTTGTTTTAATTACATGTAATATTAAATGGAAGGTAAACATTGGTTCTTCTTGTAATATGCAGGATAGAAGAATCTTGTATTCCAATAAAATGTTTTCTCTTCAGAGATGGTATGCTGTGTTTGTATGCAAGCAAGGCAGTCAGCAAGCCACTTCACTTTATCCAGCTTGGTGGAGATGACTGTACAGGATGTCGGCGTGCCTCTAATACTGACCGCGACAACTGTATACAAATCATCATGGCAAATGGCACGACCTGGCAGATCGCCTTGGCAACAGATATTGAGGCTAATGAATGGTTACAGAGTCTCTGTAGGGCTGTAGCACAGGGATTTGAGGTAAACCCAAAACATTTTGAAACCATAGCTACTATACTTATCCTTGTCCTGTGATAAGACCTCATCCCATCTTTAGGTCATATGTTGGCACCTTGGGCGTATTGTAGGATATAGATGGTATCTCTTACATGCAGAGGACAGTAGCCATACTGTAAGCCTGTTCACATAGAGGACAGCAGTCATACTGTAATCCTGTCCATATAGAGGACAGCAGTCATACTGTAAGCTTGTTCACATAGAGGACAGCAGTCATACTGTAATCCTGTCCATATAGAGGACAGCAGTCATACTGTAAGCTTGTTCACATAGAGGACAGCAGTCATACTGTAATCCTGTCCATATAGAGGACAGCAGTCATACTGTAATCCTGTCCACATAGAGGACAGCAGTCATACTGTAATCCTGTCCATACAGAGGACAGCAGAGTACAGCAGTCATACTGTAATCCTGTCCACATAGAGGACAGCAGTCATACTGTAATCCTGTCCACATAGAGGACAACAGTCATACTGTAATACTGTCCATATAGAGGACAGCAGTCATACTGTAATCCTGTCCACATAGAGGACAGCGGTCATACTGTAATCCTGTCCACATAGAGGACAGCAGTCATACTGTAATCCTGTCCATATAGAGGACAGCAGTCATACTGTCATCCTGTCCATATAGAGGACAGCAGTTATACTGTAATCCTGTCCACATAGAGGACAGCAGTCATACTGTAATCCTGTCCACATAGAGGACAGCAGTCATACTGTAATCCTGTCCACACAGAGGACAGCAGTCATACTGTCATCCTGTCCACATAAAGGACAGCAGTCATACTGTAATCCTGTCCATACAGAGGACAGCAGTCATACTGTAATCCTGTCCACATAGAGGACAGCAGTCATACTGTAATCCTGTCCACATAAAGGACAACAGTCATACTGTAATCCTGTCCACATAGAGGACAGCAGTCATACTGTAATCCTGTCCACATAGAGGACAGCAGTCATACTGTAATCCTGTCCACATAGAGGACAGCAGTCATACTGTAATCCTGTCCACATAGAGGACAGCAGTCATACTGTAATCCTGTACACATAGAGGACAGCAGCCATACTGTAATCCTGTCCACATAGAGGACAGCAGTCATACTGTAATCCTGTCCATATAGAGGACAGCAGTCATACTGTAATCCTGTCCACATAGAGGACAACAGTCATACTGTAATCCTGTCCACATAGAGGACAGCAGTCATACTGTAATCCTGTCCACACATAGGACAGCAGTCATACTGTAATCCTGTCCACATAGAGGACAGCAGTCATACTGTAATCCTGTCCACATAAAGGACAACAGTCATACTGTAATCCTGTCCACATAGAGGACAGCAGTCATACTGTAATCCTGTCCACATAGAGGACAGCAGCCATACTGTAATCCTGTCCACATAGAGGACAGCAGTCATACTGTAATCATGTCCACATAGAGGACAACAGTCATACTGTAATCCTGTCCACATAGAGGACAGCAGTCATACTGTAATCCTGTCCACATAGAGGACAACAGTCATACTGTAATCCTGTCCACATAGAGGACAACAGTCATACTGTAATCCTGTCCACATAGAGGACAGCAGTCATACTGTAATCCTGTCCACATAGAGGACAACAGTCATACTGTAATCCTGTCCACATAGAGGACAGCAGTCATACTGTAATCATACTGTCATCCTGTCCATATAGAGGACAGCAGTCATACTGTAATCCTGTCCACATAGAGGACAGCAGTCATACTGTAATCCTGTCCACATAGAGGACAGCAGTCATACTGTAATCCTGTCCACATAGAGGACAGCAGTCATACTGTAATCCTGTCCACATAGAGGACAGCAGTCATACTGTAATCCTGTCCACATAGAGGACAGCAGCCATACTGTAATCCTGTCCACATAGAGGACAGCAGTCATACTGTAATCCTGTCCACATAGAGGACAGCAGTCATACTGTAATCCTGTCCACATAGAGGACAGCAGTCATACTGTAATCCTGTCCACACATAGGACAGCAGCCATACTGTAATCCTGTCCACATATAGTCATACTGTAATCCTGTCCACACATAGGACAGCAGCCATACTGTAATCCTGTCCACATAGAGGACAACAGTCATACTGTAATCCTGTCCACATAGAGGACAGCAGCCATACTGTAATCCTGTCCACATAGAGGACAGCAGTCATACTGTATACTGTCATACTGTAATCCTGTCCACATAGAGGACAGCAGTCATACTGTAATCCAGTCCTTGGTGGTTATTGCTCTAGACTAAAGGTAAAAGAGATTAAGGATGAGGATATCTATATATATAAGCCCCTTTTTATTTTCCAAGTGGTAACAAGCTCTTCTTTACTGAAGGTATTTACTTGAGATCATGTTTCAGGTCTTGCTAATTGACAGGAAATATAAAGTCAGTTTAATTCTTAATAGCTGCACAGAGAGTTAATACATTATCAGTAACACAATGTATGGCAACATGGATGATCCATGCATTGATATGACTTTCACTTTTATGAAATTATCAAATAGTTATTTGAGTACTGAATTTAAGGAAGTTTGAATGCTTAGTGGGAGATTTGGCTGGTTACTGACAAAATACTTTGAATTAAATATGGTCATTGAGTTATATGAGTTTTGAGGTAACAAGGTTTGACTGTATTTGAAAAATTCAGATGAACATTACATGAATTTTTTTCTTAAAGTTTCTAAATCTCTTTTAGAATACCTCAAAGGCTATGAGTTGTCTCCCTTGCTGCCTGGTGTTGACCCCTCAGAAATTATTGATGTGTCATGAAGATGTCCAGACCAGTTTCTTCAGGACGCTAGGTAGTGCCAACTTGCTGGACATTACCAACGTACTGACCGACCCAGCAGTCAGCAGCTATTGTGTCCTGGTAGGTACTACATCAGTTAAAGACCTGACAATACACAAGGGATATTTGTGAACATAACCAGTATCTTAAGGATATTGTTTGTGGCAGTGTTAATGGTTTGACTGCTTGGATGATTATTGTTAACATGTGAAAAGTAAGACAGACTAGCGACGAAATGTGTTTTCTAATGAGCTATAGCAAAGACATTCAAGCCTGTATTTATTTCTGTAATGCTGTCTAAAATCTGTCAAAGGTTTGTATAATTGTGTAGTTAGATCCCATGACTGGTTATGTTGCAGGCTTGGGTTCATTACATTTTTGCTGCATTATTTATAGTGTCACCATCATGAAATACACCAACATTTTTGCAGATATTAATTACATGACTGATCTATGCCTAAATATGACCAATATTTTGTATAGGAGTTTGAGGCACATGCTCAAGGGGCTAGTGCTGACCAGTGGGTGCTGTATTTCAATGAAGGCCCAGAAACTGAACGCTTCATGCAGGCCTTGTCTTCAGCCTGGTCAGCTCACTATCAGGTAAGGGAAGAAATACCTGGGAAGTTTTTATGTAAATAAGGCACATGTGGTGCTAAATCTACCAGTCTGAAATTTTAGTTCTGAGACACAGGACAGAATCATCAGCTATTTTCACATAATTTCATTTATTATTTGAAAAGAATAAACAGCTTTTATCAAATACAGAAACCTATTTTTGTTTTGCTGTTTATTTATCTTTGAAGATTGAAATCTGTAAAATATTAACATCATTTCAAGGAAAATCAAGAACACTCATCTGTGATGTTGCTGTTTGGCCATTTGTAATAGATAGCATGAAATGTTTGTTATGTATGAACTTCTGATGTTTTTTTGATTGTTGACAAAATTTTGAAAGTAAAGTGCAATAACTTCGATTGAAACAGTAATTTAGTGAAATTAGAATTACTTTTAACCAGGAACTAAACAAGATGCATGAAACGATACACCTTGGTTGCAACATAATTCTGAAGTGGGACATTAAAACTGTAATATGTTGTGTGAAAATTGCATGCACACTTTGTGTAACACTTCTGTATTACCGTGCTATGGTTAAGGCCAATGTTTTAAGTTTTTCAAATGTAGGTCAAGGTCACACAGCCAAAATTTTGGTACCAACAGAAAAGGTCTTGTCAAAAGGATCCGACTTGCCAAATATGAAAACCATACCTCTTATGGTGCAATAGTTATGACCTATGTTAAAACTTTTCAAAGTCAAAGGTTATGGTCAAGGTCACATGCTGAAAATATTTTGGTACCACTTGAAAGGTCTATCACAAGGAAAACATATGCCAAATATGAAAGCCTCCTACGGTGCACTGGTTATGAGCATGGTTAAAGCTGACAACAGACAAATAATATGCATAAAATGTTCTTGTTGTAAAATATCTTGATACATAAAATACTTGGGATCTTGGTTCCAGAGCACTCTCTGTAAAAAATCTTACACTATCACTTGTATTACAGGTTGGCGTACCAGAAGAGTCCATTACTGATGTATCACTTCAGAAAAGTTGCCGGGACATGGTCAAAAGGCTAAGGTCATCTTTGGAGGTCAAGCAGTGACCTTGGCAGAAGAATGGTTATCAGGTGTTCCCTGGTTGAATTGAACCGGTGTGTGTTCCCAGCCATACAGATTTTTGAAATGTTTGTGCTCTTTAAATACCACTGCAACATATGGGTATTCATTAGAATATTGTACATGTTTGTATTTGCATAATTTGTAGGTTTGTTAAATGTCTTATAGAATATTTACTCAAGGTTTGTGTTGAGCCATTTCTGTTCAAATTGAGATTTTACTAACCTATGAAAAAAACTGTGCAATATATATATATATTAGTTGTCATTGACTCATGTTTTCATAAAGGATATTAGATGTATAATTTTTTCTGTGATTGTAAGTGTTTTGGTATACTAGCCATCAAAGAGGAAGTAAGATTGTACTTGGTATAAATACCTATACATTGTGAATACATGTAAACGTGAAGAGCTTTAACATCAGATAAAACTCAAAGATCTAACATGTGGCAAGCTTGGTGCCATCTTCTTATTAAGGACTGAATGACATAGGGACATGAGTTTGACTGTAAGCTTAATATATAGATGTCAACTGTTTGTTGATAGATAGCCAAGTACTACTGATTCAAATGATGTAGGTCTGGTTTGTGAGGCTTTCATCTAGTGTCATCAAAAACTCCCTTTTATCTACATCAGTGTTATACAACTCTATTAGCCTGATGCTAGAAGCCAATGGTGACTATGCTGAGCCTAGTGTATCTATGTTTTGAAATGATAGGTCTGGCTAGTTGTTATCTATATCTTATCTCAATGGTTATCAGGAATACTTGGTAGATATCATATCTAGTCAGTGATTCATAGTAGGTATCATATCTGGTCAGTGATTCATAGTAGATATCATATCTGGTCAGTGATTCATAGTAGATATTATATCTAGTCACTGATCCGTTGTAGATATCATATCTAGTCAGTGATCCATTGTAGATATCATATCTAGTCACTGATCCATTGTAGATATCATATCTAGTCACTGATCCATTGTAGATATCATATCTAGTCAATGATTCATAGTAGATATCATATCTGGTCAGTGATTCATAGTAGATATCATATCTAGTCTTTGATCCATTGTAGATATCATATCTAGTCTTTGATCCATTGTAGATATCATATCTAGTCTTTGATCCATTGTAGATATCATATCTAGTCAGTGATCAATAGTAGATATCATATCTGGTCAGTGATTCATAGTAGATATCATATCTAGTCTGTGATCCATTGTAGATATCATATCTAGTCTTTGATCCATTGTAGATATCATATCTAGTCACTGATCCATTGTAGATATCATATCTAGTCAGTGATCAATAGTAGATATCATATCTGGTCAGTGATTCATAGTAGATATCATATCTAGTCACTGATCCATTGTAGATATCATATCTAGTCAGTGATCAATAGTAGATATCATATCTGGTCAGTGATTCATAGTAGATATCATATCTAGTCACTGATCCATTGTAGATATCATATCTAGTCTGTGATCCATTGTAAATATCATATCTGGTCAGTGATCCATTGTAGATATCATATCTAGTCTGTGATCAATAGTAGATATCATATCTGGTCAGTGATTCATAGTAGATATTATATCTAGTCATTGATCCATTTTAGATATCATATCTAGTCACTGATCCATTGTAGATATCATATCTAGTCTGTGATCCATTGTAGATATCATATCTAGTCTGTGATCCATTGTAGATATCATATCTAGTCACTGATCCATTGTAGATATCATAACTAGTCAGTGATCCATTGTAGATATCATATCTAGTCACTGATCCATTGTAGATACCATAACTAGTCAGTGATCCATTGTAGATATTATATCTAGTCACTGATCCATTGTAGATATTATATCTAGTCTTTGATCCATTGTAGATATCATATTTAGTCAGTGATCCATTTTAGATATCATATCTAGTCACTGATCCATTGTAGATATCATATCTAGTCAGTGAAGCATTGTAGATACCATATCTAGTCTGTGATCCGTTGTTTATATCATATCTAGCTAGTAAGCCTCTCAGACCAGAAAAATATCATTCAGTGATACACTCCATGACTAAGAATATAAGTGGAATAATGTATGTCATCACGAAACATTCACTTTACTGGGAAATTTCTTTATTTTTGAGTGATGAATTTTTTTACAGTAATTTAAAGTAAGTACAGTTAAACATAAAAACATGTTTAAAAACCATGATGCGGGTATATATATTAAAAAAGATTTCATTGTAATAACAGTACATAGTAGAACATAAACGGAAAGTTCACTGCTTTCTATATTTATGTTGCATCAAATCTGTTATTACATCATTTTATTATTTCCAGTGCCAAATCTGTGCTTTTATTTTGATGTTTAGTTTTATTTTCATTCTAAATATTTATGTAAGTAAGGGTTTAAATTTGAAGTAATCTTATATTTTAAATTTTCTTTTTTGCAAATTGTTTTGTGAAGAATCATATCTGGTATAAGATGCTAATTTTTTTTCAAGAAGAACTGCAAGTTTATGGAATTTGTTTTATAGGACTATTCCTTATGAAGTGCAAAAAATTATTTTTAAGTTAATGGTAAATGTTTTAATTTTGTATGTATCTGCACATTGTGACAATTATAATACTAACAATCTTACATAAAACTAAATATTAGTGGTAATAATTGAAATCATTATCCATAACTGGTTTGTGAAAATGATGGCTTTTTATGATCAATGTAACCTATATTATTATGTTTAATAACATTTTAAAGAAATCATTCATCAGAAATTAATACTATAATCGTACATATTTTAGCACTGTGCTATAAGTATTGTGCTTAAATATGAATGCACTAATTGGTGTGTTTGTATTATGTTTGTTTAGTAATAATTGTGGATACATCATTGTAATTTGACAAAAAAATAATAATTTGTATTTTAGTTTTTTTTTTCTCCCTCTAAATTTTTCCCTGGAGACTTTCTCTAAAATAAAATAGAAGATATATTAAAATGCCTTTCAGATGTTGATCCATGCCAACAGGGATCATCATCTGCAAAGATACTAGTTTGTAAAAAAATTAATCTTTATACATTGAAAGGAGTTTGTATCCTTTTACTATTTAATATTTTCTTAAATAATTTTGTGTAGAAATCTAACATATGAGAAACTTCACCTCTGCTTTCAGTTTTGTATGAAAATGAATTATTCACTAAAGTATATTTCTTAAATATTGGTGTATGTATCATTTAAAATTAAAAGGAAATTACTTTAAAATTTTTCTGTTCCCTGAATACCTTTGTAAATGAATTTGACATTTTTAAAATATTTTAATCGACTAAAATACTAACATTAATTACTTGATTGAAAATAAATGCGTTTTGCTAGAGATTGTTGGATACTTTTGAAGGGTCATATTTTTTTCTATATCAAAAGCCGCAGAAATGTTTGGACAACTGTTTGATAACTCAAAGATTGTGATTTTTATTTTGAATAAGGCATCATACATGTAATTATCGGGCAATATATTAAGCGCACAATCTCCAACTCAAAGCAAAGGACATGGACTAGCATTGACAGACATGAAATATAATTTTGTGTAGGTAGTTTTACTGAATTAAATTAGAACTTTTATCAGATAAACACTGTTATGTTAATGTGATCAAAAGACAGTTTTGAATCATCCAAAGTTCACTTTTCACAATAAAAATAAAATTTATAAAAAAATAACCTGATTCTGTTCAGGTTGGTGTACGTATCATGTTTTTAATTGTTTAAATAAGTTTTTTTTTAGTTATATTGGTCTCTTGTGATAATCTTTAGTGGAGATCAAATAGCTCCCTTGGACACGAATTGCTTGGTTCTCGAACAGAAATTCTTGTCATCCTTTTCCTTACTCTTAACTTGAAAGTTTTCTGGTTTAATTTTCTGTTTTATTTGTTTTAATTGTTATTTATTTTTCAAAGTGTTGAAAACACAACTTTAAGTGTGGCTTTAAACTGCTGTGGTGTTTTGTGATTATAATTTAAGTGTAATGTTTGAAGTGCTTTTTAAAAGCAGCTTCTGTGTTATATGATTGAAATACCACTGCAGGATGTTCCAGGATGATCTCCCTTGATAAAAGAGAAGATAGTGTGTTACAATTTCATTCCAATTTTATAGGTAAAGTTGGTTGATGTATTTGATATTGTGGATATTCATAGTGAGTTTAAAATTGATTGAAAAAGAAAATTCCAATAGTTTAGTCAGAATTTAAGAAACTTTAATGACTGTTAGATACTGAGCTACTCACTGCCAGTTTACTGTATATAATCTTTGCATCAGCTTCCATCTGTCTGCATACATATTGATCATGAAAGGTAAAATTTTAAACCCTTTTAGTTTTATGGTAGTCATGGCAACGGATATGTGATTAAGTAAAGCCCCTAGCCTGTTGAAGACGATTTTTAGGTATACTTACCGTTATTTCGTGTAATTAATTGAATTAATGTTTGTCATTTAACCAATTTATATATTAAAGAAATGTGTATATATATATATAAGTGAATTAGTAAGTATATTATATTGAAAACTGTAGGCAGACACCTTAAGGAAAAATCAGGCAGACAAACGTTTGACGAGAATGAAACATAAAGTTTGGTGTATCTTAAGTTATTAATTGTAATCGTTCTTGTGTGGTATCAGTGAAAATCCTTTTAACCCTGTCTCACAAGTATTAGCTGCGATAAATTCCGTATTGGATTTGCCATAACTTGCGTGCCAAGTTTCAATTCATTCAGGTAGTGACGTTAATGTACTCAATGTTAAAATTATCAGATAAATGGATATTGTGAAATGTCTGGAATTATTGGACTGGTGCTCCTCCTAACATAGATTTTAACATTTTGTAGGTTTCAACAACTTCAGACCTTAGCATCACTGAAAACCCCTGAAAGAATTAAACGGCTATATGTTACAGTTTTAATAAAGTATTTGGCTCTCCTTTATCAAATACTGAATTGTCCTGT